AACAGTGCGGATTCCGTCATAATTTTCGATGACCCACTCTCATCCAATCTGTGTAAGGAATTTTAATCTATTTCCTCAATTTGAATGTGCACGATGACAAATAATCCATCTTAAAACAATCGGCAAATTTTAATTTAATTTCGCACTTTACATATACATATGTAAACAATTAAGTTACATTATAGAAGATGAACAAAATCACGCGATTATAATTCATGTAAAAATACACTATTTATAAATTTTAGAATGTACATGTATTAATAATATATTCTAAACTTGAAAAATGAAAGCATTAAAAAATATATTTTTTTATACATTTGACAATTATTAAATTATTTATATTTAATTAAATAATAAAAATTTTAATATTTATATTTAATATTTACCTACATTTATTTAGCTTTATATTTATATATTTGTTTTATACTCCAAATTTCTAAAGTAGCTGGTTTATATACAATACATTGATAAATCAGTTATTGTTACAAGTTACTATTATTATCCCGAGAGACCTGTCTATATAATTTTATTTCTTATTCATCGATCTACTGAACGAATGGGGAATTCGCGTGTCTTACGGAAATAAAGAAAGAGGTCTTTAGAATGCGGCTTAGAATACTCGACTAGACACGACGTAGACGCTTATGTACTGAATCTACTGCAATAGATCTCAGCATAAGCTAATAACTGTTATTCCAGGTAATTCCCGTTCATAGAAATAAACAATATTTTTGCAGTGGTTCCTCCTTGTGTTTAAATTATGTATTAATAGCATGCGTAGATTCCTTTTTACTGTCTCCATTATAAAAATAAATAAAAATTATTTTTTATATGGATAAATTATTTTCGTGCGTTTATTTTTTCATATTTTATTACAGTAATATATCAGATTCATTTTTTAAGAAATTTTTCTCAAAGATTAAAAAATTTCCTCAGAAATAATTGTTTCAAAAGTTAATCAGTTTTTACCTATGCAGCTTAAAAAATTTGGAAAATTTAATTTAAATTCAATGTAAATTTATATATACCTTTTATAAGTAAACAATATTAAATCAATTTAATTACTGAAATTTTAGTCTTATTTAAAGTGTTACATTATAAATACATTGTAAAATTTACAATGACACGGTTTCAAGATTGTGAATATTATAAGTCAAGCCAAGTCTTAAAATTTATGATTAAAAATTTTTGATTAACTTTAACTTTAAAAATATGACTTTGATCTTCATTGTACTTCTCGGATTTCTGCATCCCAAACCAAGTGATCACATAAAAAGAAAAGAAAACAGGAAGAAGAATTCAGAAGGAAATGAAGCGAGAAAGAGAAAAGTCACGCGAAGTACTCTTAGTAATTACGGTCATTTCGAAGAGTTTCTCGGAACGGTTAGATTGATCCCTCCTCAAATCTTCTTCTCTTACCGGGAATCCGTAGGAAGACCTCTCTGCGAAGAGAAATTGAAGAGCAAGTGGCAACGAGAGAGAAGAAATCGGAGAAGGCAGGACGAAGTGAGGGAAAAACTGGATAACAGTTACGTATATACACAGAATGAAAGATTTCTGATCGCAGAGCTTGGAGGTAGTTGCAGTGGGCTTCTTCGATGCCAATCGTGAAGATCAAAGGAAGTTGGCCTTTGGAAAAAAATCGATTGCATATTAAAAAAAATTTATCGGAATGGTTAATTAAATATTTCTGAAAAGGAGAAATATTTCTAGGAATAAGATAAGGAAATTGACTTCTTCTTTTAAAAAGAAATCAAAGGAAGTGTGAAGATTAATTTGTGATTGATTTGAAAATAACTGAAAGAATTGAGTTTCTTCTTGATTTGAAGAAAAATTTGAGTCTTTTACTTTCTTGAATTCTTTGATTTACTTCTTATTGTTTAATCTAAAGTGGAAAAGATTAAAAAATCTTAGAGGTCAAGGATTTCTAAACATCTGAAGTTCCGTTTTAATGTAGAAAAGACTGTTTTGCTAATACAATAATCCGATTTCCTTGAAAGAGAATATAATCGATGAATAAAATTGAAGTACATTTGGGAAATACTGTGATTGCTATTCAAGACTTAATTTTATTGAGCAATATTGTTGATCAATTTAAAAAAAGTGTGCTTTGCTTTAGAAATATATTACAGTAATTATTGAATTTAATTGAAATAATAGTTAAAATTTACTGATTTACTATTACTAAACAATACACTGAAGTGATTTTACAAATTGTGAAAACTCAACCAAACTTCAAACATTTTGAAAGTCACATTTCGAAGATGATGAAATTTTTGTTGTTAGTAATCTGCGTTCAGTTTACGTTAATTGTTGTTGGCAGACATCACAGGTGAGAGAATAATGTAGTCAGGTTTTTCAATTTCTTTAACAAGCTATTACTTACAAGCTATTACTTTCTTTTTCGATTTATTTTTATTTTGTATTAATTTTTTTTTCTTTCTTCGTTCTTCATTTCTTAATGTATTTGATTGTCATTGTTTTTCTCTGCATTTGTACTTCATCATCTTTTCTTTTCGTGTCCACATTTTTATAGTCACATGCATATTTCTATAATCAAATTCTTCTTATTTAATACAGGGACAGTGATTTTTTGAGCCACGTTCAACTGGTGCACCAATTTCAATGTTTGTTGCCTCAATCAAGGGCGATTGCAGTAGAGGATCTCTTGACTGTAGGCCTCGGGCCTGACGAAGCTTTTTATCCCGCGTCCACAGTTCTGACACGCTGTGCTGGATCAGGATGCTGTCCTGATTCTAAACAGATCTGTGCTCCCATCGAAATCAGAAACGTCACCCTCGTCTTTATGGTCAGGCATCGCATCGATCAACAACGAGATCGTCATCATGAAGTCATCCATGCTGTGGAGCATACTAAATGTGCTTGCATGGATAAAATTCTGGCTATGAAAAAATTCAGATTTTAAACAAAGAAAACAATTTTAAAAACACACTGTTCCTAGATAAATAATTAAAATAATGATAATTTTGTTCTGACGATTAGAATTTTGTTAAAACTGTATTATTAATTTCTACTTATTCTGTTAAGTTTTGCTAGAAAATCTAAAATAACTATGCATATATATACAGCGATTCCGAATCTTTATTTCAAATGTATTTTAGAATATACCAAAAAGTTCGTTTATCTTAACAATTTAAAATGCATGATGTTCAAATAATAAATTAATTAAATATATATTAAGAAGGGCAAACCAGGTGAAAACACAAAAATGTAAGTGCTAAGCAAAATATATTAGTAAGCGCTAAAACAAATTAAAACAAAAATAAATAGAAATGAATAAAACAAACGACGTTTCAACTCCGATCGGATCATTATCAATGTTAGATGTGTAAAAACTTTCAATAAATTAATAATATAAATATATTTTTGAAATAGCAACGGCTTATAACTAAAAATTACAAACTACGAAAATAAAAACTTTTTTAATTGTACTGACTTTGGCTGAACATATAAAAAGATATAGGTTTTTCACTTGGTTTGTGATTTTTTAAAATATATATTTAATTAACAATTTAACTTAATCTTCCATCTCAGAATTATATATATAAATCTAAGGTCAATTATATTAAATTATGTTAGATTATACTAGCAATATTTATATCATATTTATTATGTGCATGCATTTATCACAAACGTTATATCTGTATGTTAAAAGTATATGAAAGTAAAAATAAGTAAACGTATTCAAAATTAAGAATATATAATTTAAAAAATAAGAACTTTATGCTGACAATATTTTCTTCGTATCATATTTTATATTTTTTAAAATAAACATAAAGTTTAAACAAATTTAATCGGACGACATCAGTAATATGATAAATATAAGAGAATTAAGTAATTTGTATGTACACTTTAAATAAATATTTTACATATCTTATTGTTAATTATACTTGTAGGTACTTAATTATACTTGTAGGTATCTTATATACATCCAATCAATTTATTGATATGGCACAAATAAATAAAATAAGTTTCAATAAATTAAAATATTTCTAAAATTTCTACAGGAGTAAAATTTTTAGAAAATTAATCCCATCAGTCATCCTTTTTTTCATTCCTTTATATTAAAATATTGTTTAACAGCATATAGATCGTGTTGAATGCTCTTGTTATTTGGATCTAGCTTCAAGGCAGCTTCTAATTCAGGAATTCCATGCTGTGGTGCAGATAATTTGCAAAGCGCAGCACCTCGACGAGCGTGACACCTTGCTCGCGATGCTCTGTTGCTTTCGCACTTTGGTTCCATTAACTCCAATACCTAGAAAAAAAAGTCTCATTAACAACTGTAGTATTCTATATATTTCATAATTAAAATTACATATTTAGAGATAGAAGCTTTTCTATTTATAAGAAAAATCATTTTATAAAATTATATTTTCAATTTATATATGTATAAATATCTTTATATCATATTTTTATTTTTAATTTCAACCTATAATATTTTTACCTTTTTCTTATTTCTATTTATATTTTTAATATTTATTACATAATTTATTATTTTATTATTACATATACATTATATATATTATTTTTTTTATACATATATTTCTTACATTTTTATGTTTTTCTCTATTCTCTACAACCTTTTAAATTTTTTTTTAAACTTAAAAAAAATATTCTATATAGTTTATTGTAATTTTAGTTACCTTAGAACAATCATCAATACACCTATAATAATTTCCAAGAGCGTAATGTGCAGCAGATCTGTTCACATAAAGTGCCGCCATCTTGTTGCTGATTTTGATTCCATGCGTATATGCACTGATGGCAGCTAAATAATTCCCCGCTTTGAAGAAATCACTAAAATATAAAATGATTAAATAAAATGTAATTTAAGAATTAGAAAATATATGACAAAGCGCATTTGTCAACGTACTCGCCCTTGTCTTTTAACCATTGTGGATCCTGTTCTTCAGGACGAAGATCCTCGGCAACGAATCCTGTTTTTCTTCTGGCCTCTGCTTGCTTGGAGAGCCACTAAAAATAAACTACATTTGAAACACATACATTTCTAAAAACAAACTACATATATCTATATTAAAAATTATACATAAATCAAAACTTAAATTCAAATTTAAACTGTTGCTGAAAAGAAATTAATTTCTCATCGAGTCCCTTCTAAAATAAAATGAATTTTCTAACAAGTTTTTGTCAAATATTCTTTTCTTTTGTAAAAAATAATTAACTTCCATAAAATTATTAGTAAGAAGAAATTTATACAATTTAGATTAAAGATATGTACTTCCTGTTCTTCAATGAAGGAACTCTCTCTTGCAGGAGTAGGGAAGGCCCGTTCGGAAAAAGTTACGTTGATCGTTCCACTTCTTCTAGGGAGTGGAACTGCCTTCGTAGGTTCATCGAATATTTGATTTATTTTAGGATATCGACTCTCCAGTATCCTATCAATTAAATCCCGATCTGATCCTTGTTTCTTCGTCTTCGTACAAAATTTTTGTGAGAGTTTCTGATTCATTTTCTTAACTAAAGAATTTGTCGAAGATTTAAAGGATGTAACCTCTTCATTTGATTCGGAATCCTCGGAATAACTAGAATATTCTGCAAAATTAAAATCCTTGCTCACATTTGTTGTCTCCTTTATTTCTACATCTGCTTTTTTTCCGATATTTTCATTGAGAGTTGTATCTTCTTTTGAATTCATTTGCTCTATTGATTCGTTAACAATTAAGTCTTTGTTTATGTTTTCTTCAACGGTTAAACCTCCCTCAGATTTTTCTTCGACAATTAGTTCTTCCTCTAATTCTTCTATAATTATTGATTTATCTTGTTGATTTCCTTCTACTTCTTTCTTGTTAATTTCTCGAGATTGTATGATACCAAGATCATCTTTAAACCATTGAAGTGGAGGCCTTTCAGAAAAATATATCGATTAAATATAAAATAGCTAATTTTTATAGAATTATGCTTTTTCAAAACTACTTTTCTTTTATTATACTTCTTAAGGTATTTAAGTTACAATATTCTAAAAAATTTCCATGTTTCTCTTTAAAATAATACCTATATGCCTTCCTATTCTTTTGCACTTTGCCAGAAATATTTTGAAGGAACGGCATTTCCGCATTTAATCGCCAATCTTCAAAATCCTGCATCGCGGCCTTCCGATGGCTGTCTCTCAAGGCCTCTATTTTATTCAGTGTGTCAGTATCCAAATTGATTTGTATTTTTATTGCTTCTTTTTGCAGATTTTGAAGTTTCTCTGTAAGTGGCGAGTATCAATTTCATTTTTTGAACAAGACTATAATTTTTTAAAGTTCTATTCTCTTAATCCTATTTATGACTTCAACGACTCATAAAATTATGTATGTAATTACATATATGATTATGTACATATACGATTATGTACATATATCAATTATTCTATTCACAGTTTGAAAAAGTAAATTTTTTATTATATATTATTAACAATCCTTACCTTTTTTACATTTTGCACGATTTTCCAAAACCTTTTGTGCTTTCTCTAAAACTTGATTTCTAGCATGACATTTTTCACTTTTACTAATGTTTTCCGCCTCGAGAATCGGCCAATCAATAGCCAAGCTTGCTTTTTGTAAAGAGAAGATAGCTTCGGTATCCGTCAAAGTACATTCACTTTCCTCTTCAAGCACATTTTCCCACAGAAATAATTCCAAAATAAAGGGCGAAAAACTAATCTTCAACAAAAATTAGTTACATTTTTGCGAATATTGTTTTTACACATAATATAATTCTGACATATCAAGTTTCTTAAGTAAAAATTGTATATTGCTTTCAAGAATTATTATAATTAAAAGTAAACGATTATTTTCAAACATTAAGTCCTATTATATATTTATTATATACCTAGATATGCTTAAATATAAATATTATACAAAGAAAAAAATAATTTTCAATAAAAAAATTTTCCTCAAAACTTTCGTTAAGTTTTATATATGTCAATTAATCAATTAATATAATTAAAAATATAATTAAATTCGAAAATTATATCTAGAGAAAGACTTTAACTTTAAAGAAAAGAGAAAGATAAAAAATATTCTGATTATTTAAATCTAAAGACATCATTTTAATGTTTAGAAAATATTCTGAATACCTTTACGTAATTATCCATAACAAATAGATGCACGTTTTTAGGGCAACTTTTTAAAGGAACGTAAATTATTATTCTTTTATCCGTCTGTCGCCATCGATAATCTTTTATAATTATCGCCATAATCCAAATTTAGATTATCGCAAACAATTTGTTTGAATCGATACAACTTCTGTTCTTGTTCAATAAAACCTTACAACGTGTAAAATATCGATCAAACAAATATATCTAAGCAACCACGAAGAGAACATATTGCAACTAATTGCACATGTTTGTTGCAACTATTGCAGATTGATTTTAATAACTGTAACATAAATATGGATATTCTCTATAGGCACATAATATTAATCAATATTAAAGAATATTTTAGGCATATTTTTAGAATATTAACGTAACATTTGAAGAATATTTTACTTAGAAATTATATAATATTAAATAATGAAATGATGAATAATGAATAAAATTCTTGAAATATTAATGAATAATTATATGTCCATTCCTGATAATATTATATAATTATTAAAAGTAATATTATTTAGTATTATTGTAATATTGTATGAACATTAAAAAGTATTATAATATTTACTTTAATTTGTAAAACTGTTACATCGGTTCAGTTTAAATATATGTATAAAGACTAAAAATAATTTTGGCATGCAGTTGTAGGACTGGATATGTACGTAAAATCATATCGAAACGTCATTTAAGCACAAGACGCAGCATAAACTGATAAAGACATTTTCGTGATTGGATTGTGAATTCAACTGTACTAATACATAAAAAAAAAATTAATATTAATAAATATTTTAATAATATTTCAGAGATGTTAAAGGAAATATACCAAATATTATACAAGTGGACATTCATAGAATATTTCATAATATTAAAAAATATTATACAATGTTCTCAAAATATTATAATAACTTATTTTAATTTTTTAATATTTTTAACATTCTAGGAATATTTTGCGCCTATTGGGTTTAAGCAAAAAAATTGCCAAATTATTTGATAAACTTAAATATTAAATTAAACATTAAACGTAAAGAATGAAAGGCAAATTTTATGTACTGTACGAATTACCTTTAATTAAAACGTTCAAGAGTATTTGTTTGACAATACTTTTCGTAGACATATTAAAAAGCTGCCGTTCCGCATGTACTTCCATGATCATCTTTATCTATCTCTCTCTACCGTTTCAATCATCACTCTTGTGAACAACAATCCCAAATCAATGGAAATGTGTACATGACTCAAATCACACGCGATCTGACAAAAGCGAGTAGGAAAAGTACGTGATAACGTTTTTGAGAAAAAAATATTATTAACATATTTTGAAGCTTAAGATATTTATGATATAAAATTAAAAAGGTTTATCATTCGCGATTAATTATGCTAAATTTATTATTGTTTTAGCAATAAATACGCAAGTTTAAATAATATCTCTAACAAAATTAAGAAACTACTCGAGTCGTAGTAAATTTAATTAAATACAAATTTATATGAATCCATTCGAAAAACTAGTGTTGATAAAAAAAAGCCTCAGTCATCACTTTTCGCCAAATTATATAAATTTGTATTCATTTTTGTCACTGATTCTGAGCGATTCTTAATTTTGAGTGATGATTAAGAAGAAATGGCGCGAGATTTATTTAAAAATCTCTATTGGATTTCTGCCATTAATCAGATCGTGTGTGAGGCGCTTCTCGTATTTACGTGACTAAGTGATTCGTTGAAAATTGGCTATATAACTTATGATAATTCAGTCAGTTTTGTGAAAAGTCCTTAAGGAACGGAACATCTAGGACTTGAGGATTCAAAAAATCAAAGAGCAAAAAGGATGCAACGATTTGAACATAACAGCTGTTAACTGTTTTAAGACTAAAGCAATCGCAATTAACTATTGCAATTAACTGATCAATTAAGGCCCGATTGCACCAACGTTTAATTTTAAGCGAGGCTTAAAGCTCTCTTTTCGGTCCCTGTCTCTTTTCGGTTTTAAGTTTCGCTTAAAATCAAGGTAACGTTGATGCAACCGGGTCTTAAACATTTTAAAATACAAGAGTTTAGACATCTCAAGATAAAGGATTCGGTTTTAAAATTACATAAAAATTAAAATACCTCAAATTTATAATTCTGAGATTCAAAGATCCGAAGTTTGAAGAATCCTAAGTTTTGAAGTTTTACAAAATTCCAAGGACTGAAAGGACAAACTCAGAAAAAAAGAATTCGGAATACAGAATTACATTCTGTTTCCAGGAAACCAAATTTTCTAAAGTTTAAAATATTTGAAGATTTAAAAATACAAAGATCGTAAATTTCAGAAAATCAAAGATCTAAAAACGAGAAGATCCGATTTCTTTAGATTCCAAATATCCAAGGAGCGTCTATGTCTAACACGTGATAAATCCTCAAACCTCAAGATCTAAACAAAAAAGTTCTTAGCTTACAATTGAGGAAGTATCTCGAAGGGAGGGGAAAAAAGCAAAAGATTTCGTTATGAATAATCGAAATGCAGGAGGATCGTTCCACTGAGGTTTCACCGATAGCAACTGATATCATATTACAATTCTTATAAGAAACACGGACGATTCATTCCCGCAATTCGTTGTGAGTGTAACAACAAAAACAACAAGTGTCGCGTCGCGATCGCCAAATAATGTGGATTAATGGAGGACTTCTATAAGGATCTACGATCATAAAAATTCAAAGTTGATGCCTCTTGTGAAGTAACGTTATGACACTGTAATCGCTTCCTGTCGCTCCGCGACTCATACGACTCGCACACGCACGCAATGCACACACATACATATTAATTATCTCACCGGTTACAGTCGTTATTCATCGTATTTCAGTACATATGTATATTTACACGATACGCCCCGAAGTTCAACATTTCTAACTACTCGCGACGAGGCGTTTGTGAAATGTTCAAAACGGGACGTAAAAAAATTGTTTAACGTTACTATAAATAAGTACGCTCGTTCCCATGTCTAGAGTGGGCTTTCTGCTTCCTTTCTCTCTCTTTCTCTCTTTCTTTTCTCAACAGAGCGTTTCGTAGCCACTTGCACGCTCGGGATCCCTCTCGTGCGGGAATCGCGGCTCGGGCTTTATTCTTATCCGATGTGGAATGTCATTAGATCTGTCGCAAAATTTACAGCGACTCGATTCGAGTCGAATCGCGAGTATGGCTCGACGATTGAAGGATTTATCCTCAAATATTTTGCGAGCACTTGACTGATTCTGTTGGAAACACAAGGGAGCGGAGAATGCAAGTCTCTCAATGTCTGACTCAGTGCGTGAAAGGATTGCCTTGAGCAAATTTGGAGTGAATAAGTATAAATTACAAAGAGATATCTCTTATACAAAGTAATTAGCTGCGAAGTATGGGTTGTCTCTGATCAATTTCATTCCTTCCTCTCGGCTAAATTGATACAGTAGTTGGTCTATTGCAACGAAATATTTATTATAGAGAATCTTAATTGCAGAGAACAAGAAGATATGGTATTGAGAAAAGTATTCTCAAGTCTATTGCTACTATAAATTACATTTTTTCATATTAATATTATAAATATTATTCATATAAGAATCATTATTCCTTATTATTTAACGTTAGAACATTATTAACATTCGAATTTATATTCAACATCAATTTAAATTAAAAAAAACATCGATTAAACAATATATGCTAATATTTAATATCTATTATTAAAAAATATCAATATATTTCATTGATAAACTGTATGTATATTAATTACTATTGGTATAAAGTACACGGGATATAAAAACCACTTGTACTCTTAAGCACTCCGGATTTTCGTTCCCTAAACTTTTACAGAATAATCTATTTATTTCTTTCTGATCACAATGCAAAATGCCATAATTATTTAACAAGCAATAAAATTGTTTAGACATTGGCAATTACAAAAGCTTCAACTTAAAAACTTTCAACAGTTTCAAAATCTATGATAATTGATCAGAGACATACCGTTAACAAGTAATTAATAATTAATTAGTAATTGACGACGCATTGCTTATATAAAATTGAAGAAGACGACAAAAAAGACGTATAAACGTCTACTTGAAAGATCGATCCTTAATAGAAAAAGCGCCGTAAAACGCGATCGTAGAAATAAATACGGAATAATCCTTATGTAACACTATATAAGTATGTATACTATATATACGTACATACAATTACAAAAGAGTGTATTTAAATGACACGATGTTTTATTACACATTTTTCGCGTTCTAAAAGACGTCCCATCTAAAATTAAGAGCGGCACACGGTTTTATTTCTTCGGTAAAAGAACAGCATTTATTAAAGCGAAAATCGAGCAGCCGCTAACTCATACGCATATTTAGAACGCGACCGTTTAGCTAAATTGTTGTCTTTACACGCATTCATACACAACATACACGCACTTACGCTTGCATATACACACACTTTTAAATAGTACTAATAACTAAGGAAAAAAATACTTAATAGCGATAATATAAGTATGGCGACAACAAGTAAATGCAGAGGCGCAATACATGGGCCTCGTTTAAGAAAACAGATTATGATTGAACGGAAGCGGAGTATCTCGAAGATAACGCCAGGACATACTGGGTGTTCCAAGGAGGTGCAATTTAAATTACTAGCTAGTTATAACAATTCTATTATTATAGCAATTATTTTGAGTTATTATGTGCCTCCAATTATTATTGAGAAATAATAATTAAAATTAATCGTAACAGTAATAGCTATTCGTTTCATCAACATTAATTTAAAAATTCATCAAAAGTTAGCAATAAATTATTAAAACAATAATAATTCTCCCAATGATTAATTTCTAGTGATAAGTAATATTAAGATGTTTCATGAAGATTTACTAATTAATCGTATTATTTCGCGTAATCATAATTAATACGCAGAGGTAATTTTCTTTCAATTAATACTATATACGGCTTTAATACTATTATTTTACACTAGTAATATTAAGAATTATTTGAAATAATTATATAATATCAATTGTGAAGAAATATAAATTATTTCATACTTAAGTAATTTTAATTATTTTAATTTTGTGTGTGTGTGTGTGTGCGCGCGCGCGCATGTGTGGACGCGCCCGGAACCAATTAAATATACTCTAAAGAGTCTAAAGGACAGTAAAAGAAAAGAAATCCGAGAAGATAATTGTACGTGTTAATAAAAGCACAATTCAGAAGATGTTTATATAAAATTTTTCATTGTTTGATGAATATATATTCATTTTCATTTTTAAAATAATTTTTAATTTTCTAGGTGACACCCTGTATGAAACGGACGGCGTCATTTCCAGTTTCATCTATATTTCTTTGGTAAACTTCTTCTTCCTTGGAAAATTTGTTTTCTAATTTCTTTTCGATAAATATTCTCGATCTCCCGATAAAGTCCAATGTATTAATTCCTCCCTACCTCTTTCGAGATACCCTGTACACTTCACGCTCAAAAAAATCCGTATTTAACCTACCGGATGTCTAACTGATACCGAACGCGTCTAATTTATTCGCGAACTACTTTTTCCGCGCAGCTTTTTCCGCTTTTCGTCGCATTCGCTCGATTTCCTTACGCTCTTTGCGTTCACGATCGGCCTGCGCCCTTAACTCTTTCAGTTTGCGCTTCAAATGGGCCTTAGCTTCGCCATAAACCCCTAAGGCCTTCAGCTCCCTCGATTCCAAGCGTAGCAAATTACTTCCGTTGATACCATTATCCAAAAATTGGGGCGAATAATGCTCTAAACCGATTCCAGTCAGCCATTGGCACACCTGGAAAAATATTCTTGCTTTTAGAGAAAAATGAAAGATATTAAAAACAAAGGAAAAAAATCTGTTCGCTTTTTTTTTAGTTATTTTATTAAAGACTGAAAGCATACATAACATAATTTAGCTCTTAAAATATAAGTTTTCTAATAACACAAATACTTATTTTTTTAAAATACATATTTAAAAGGATTCGCGGAAAAAAATGAATTCCTTAATTGCAAATTTCTTCTCAGATCAATTGAATACTCACTTGCTCCTTGGACCAATCTGCAACTGGCGCATTCTGCCAGAAGTGGGACTTCTTGTCACCTAAACCAAAGTCGCTTAGGTGAGCGGGCAACCAAACTGTGCTCGAATCTATATTGATAATGCATGCATGATGGAAAGTAAGTATAAGGTGTGAAGAGTCTTGTCACGCTATTAGTCATCACTCTATCAGAAATTAATCATTATCTGTACTGTAGATGCTAGCATATTTTGTTAATAATTATTTCGTTAAATGTCTTAACTATTAATGTTTTCATCAAAAAAGAATGAAGAAAAATCATGCATTTAAAGCAAATTTAAGCGTGTAAAGCAATATTGTCCTTAAATAAAATGCTATTAACTGCGCAGAAGCTAATTAAAAGAAATTGACGGATATCATTTCGAAAATCCTTAATTTCAATTTGAATTTTTAATTATAATTCCTGACCGAGTGATTGAAACGTTAGTGCTGACACATAAACATCAATATACAACTTATGAAGTACCTGTAATGTTACCTTTTAAAGAACTAGGATCAACGCCGGGAGGACTCACGGAACCGCCGGAGGACAAACTTGATGGAGAACTTCCTGGATGATGCCAGGGTGCACTTGCACTACCGATCAAATTCGACGGAGGAATCGATACCTTTTTTACTAAAAACATAATAAATTTAATTTACACTGTTCACTTTCAATTTCATTTAATTATTATTTACCTCTTTGATTAGCCTCGTTGACAGCTTGCCGTATCTCTTCCACGAGATGATGTGTAACCATAGTTGGATCATTATTATGAGGACTATTGAGATCACTGAAATCTCCAGAGCTCTCCCTTGAGGAGTCGTTTCCGCCAAGCCGCTTTTCCCGTTCAGCCAAAACCTGCTTCAACTGTTCTGCCAATGATGCAGGAGGTCCAGTCAAAGCTACCGAGAAAAATTGTTAATATATCATAAAATAAGAGAATTATAATCGCATGTATAATAAAATTTGGATAATAACAATCGACATATTGAAGTTAATATGTTGACATACTTTTCTGCGATTGGGGCCAACTTTGTTCAGTCATCGCCCTGACTTGTGAACTAATGGTGCTGTGCTGTCGAATCGCGGTAGGATGTATAGGATCCATGTGCGATTTTCCCTTAAGTGAACTGATGGATGAAGTGCTGGAATAGGAACTCAAGTTGGACTGCTTCGCTGTTAAGTCATTGGGTGACCTGCTGCTGTCTTGCGAAGTCAATTTTGAAGAGGAATCATCGTCTGTATTGTCACCCGACTCGTCCAATCCGTAATCCTAAAATAGGAATGTTTTATTGTACAATTTTATTAAAATAAATAAATTTTTAAGCATTAAATTTATTTTTCATTTCTATCATTAATTCTAAAGTTTGTGTTCTAATTTTCGAGCATAATCTCCGAACAAGCAATGTATGCTACAATTACGACTTAAATTGAATTAATGTGAGATGACATACAGAACTACTGTTGCTAAGACCTCCGGATCGCCTGGGTAGCTGACGATTTGCCAAGCCGCCTCTGCTGGCCAATTCCGCCTTGCTCTTGCCAGCAGAATTATCTAGCAGACGATGGGCTGGAACAGCACGATCTAATTCTTCTTTTACCGGTAGTGGTAGAGGCAGTTTCCTCTCCACAGTAGCAGTCTTATCACCGTCATCCGGGCTACTAAGGTCAGAAGTCTCTGTATCAGAAAGCTGGCAGCTGGTCGATGAAGGTGGTGGTGGCAGTTGTTTGCGAGAAAACTGTGGTGTTACTATCCTAGTAGTGGCATTGTCATATGGTAATCGTACCGGTAGACCAAATCGCCTCTGAGTTTCCGTCAGCTCCACCTCTAACGTGATCACCTGAAATAATCTTTTAAAAATATTTGTTCTTTCTAAAATCAATCATCAGTCAAGCCCTTCGACACGTACTCTATCTTTGAGACTTTTCACCAATGCGTTGTATTCCGTATCCTTTTCCCGCAACAATTGCTCATAGTACTCGTCCCTGACTGTAACGTCCGCACGCAGAACTCTGGCGGCTCTCCTGGCCCTAGCGTACTTCTGTTGCAGAGCTGCGTTCTGCGCCGTCGCCTGCGACAACATCTCTCTAGCCGTCAATAGATCCTGGCGGGCGGTGCCCAATGCTCTTTCCGATTCGTGAAGACGTAATCCCGATTCCCGTAATTTGGCTGCATATTCTTCGCTACCCGCTCCGCTGTTTTCCAATTCTACTAACTGTCCGAAACATGGAGTTATAATAACTGACTAATTAAGTAAGATTATAAAATATATATGATGTAACATTATAGATAAAGTGTTTTTAAAGCATTAACTTGGGATACATCTAATAGAAAATACAATCTTGAATAAAAAAACTTCAGAGAAAAAACTTTCTTTCAAAAATATGCAAAATTTCTTTTAAAAGTTATCGTTAAATAACTAGAGATGCACCGGATATTCGGAAATCACTATTATCCGGGGAGATATCGATTGAAATTTGATATAAAATTGTTGATTCTTTCTTATACAAATGTTCTCCAAATAAATATGCATACTCATGATGCTAATATTTTATACATTGTTGCAATATTACAATCTGTTTCCCTATAGGTTTTTTTTTAGAAGACACTCGGAATCCGATCGGATATCCGGAAAATGTCGGATGAAGAAATTGCCTTCTCGGATATCCGATTGAATACCAGATATCCGATGTTATTGTTTTGCCCAGATATCCGGTATCCGCTAATTTTACGATCCAGTGCATCTTTATAAATAATTGTGTACATTCTATAATTTCTTAAATATTGCGCTGCTTATCGTATAATAATAATTATCAATCAAATTTATTATTATTATATATTTGGCACAAAAATTAAAAGTTAAAGATTATTTTATGTCGATTGGCATGGGAGAAAAATTATCTATAAAAATAGTGGGAGCATGCAATTATATATATATAAAACAAAAAAAAAACAAAAAAAACAGTTTCGGAAAGAGTTTCGAAAAGTTAAGTCAATTTAGTATATAATTTAATAATAACAAAGCAATAACATAGTAAATAATCTGCAATGTGTAAAGAGACTGTTTAAAAATATTTTAAGTATTTTTAATAAATTATCGTTCTAGCAAAAAATGTTTATGATTTTTATTTATTAGAATAGAAGATTTTTCTTTAGTAAAATTGCGAGCTATTATCTTTTTACTAAAAGTATCTTTTTATAAAAAAAATACAAGATATATAAAAATATTTGATATATATTATATATTGTTGTACAAAAAATATTTATTTTTTTGCAAAAAATAATAACATAAAAAATGAATTAATAAAGAATGGGAAATTCTTATTACTTATGTACATTAATATACATACAAGCTATAAGCTATAAAAATATACATTTGTTTATTACATGCATTTTGATGTTACAATGCAAGCAAAGAGAAAAGCGTGAAAAATTTGTAAAGATTAATAGAAGCATGCTATATAGTATAAAAACAAATAAACATGTCTTTTGACCTGTAAAATAGGTTACGCTTTCTGTTAATAATTAATATTAATAAATTTTCTATTAACTCAAGCAGTTATAATTATTTGAATAAATCTAATTCGATTATAGTCGATTAGTTAATATTATTAAGTAACTGTCGTAACTGTTACGTTACCTTTGCCTTGAGTTTTTCCACTTCCTCGTCCGCTAATGAGAGTTTATACTGACTCTGCAAGCAACCAACGACACGCATAGCGTATAAGCAAAAAAAAACAAAAACAAAGAAAATAAAATCAATACACACTGTGCGATTGCGGTGAACTTACATATGTGATACCTGCACTCATAGTTTACACACATACACACGAAAGTATGTACAGATATGCGTATCACGGAAACGTCATTGGTGAACAATGCATTATCTAATGACTATTTACAAAAAAAAAAAAAAAAAAAAAAAGAGGCTAACTAACACCACACATATAACAGGTGTATAAACATCTGAATGAATAAGATTCTTAAATAAACGGATGAAAAAGGGATACACATTCGAGTTATAAAGCGCAGAATATAAATACGCAAAATACCTCTTGCAAGAGCAATCTCAAACTGTCTACATCGCTCTGCGTAGTGTTGTGCGACGAGCCAAGTATAGGAGATCGGCTGCGACTAGAAGGCGATAGATAATTCTCAATAGGGCTATGTGCTGGTTCTCCCTCTGAACAGGAGGACATTGCCGGCGAACCAGGGATCCCGCTCATCCCGCTGCCGACGGAGATATCCTCGCTTCCTCGTTGGCCATCGGGAGACGCGTCGGAGAAGTTAAGTTTCCTGGAGAATGTATTTCTTTTTTTAACGTTGATCAAAGTTAATTTGATTATTATAACGCTAAAATTTGTTAACATTACAGAAACATTAGTTACAGAAAACATGGTTCCCTCAGCACTCCAAGATGCCTCAGGCTCTCATTGAAGTGGCCACAAAGTATCGTCACGGAATTTTTGCGAGCAAGGATAAATCATCATTGGGAACGCAGATGAGACATTTAAATTAAAAGAAGATGAAGTCTTCAAATCGAGTTGGAAAGAAAAAAAAAGAAAAAAAAACAATAATTTCATAATATTATTGAACTTAACATAAAAATATATTAGTTATTGATAGTCAAGTAATTGTTATAAAAAAATCTTCTTTTCTTCATCTTTTATCATAAAATAAAATATCTAATTTTTGGAAAATAAATTTTACTATTTGTTAGATTGATTTTACATTACAATAAAATTTGTCATTATAAAAACAAATAATTATAAATTATAATATTATGGTAATATATTCGATATTCAAATATTATTTAAAGATCAAGTTATGTGAATGCGCTATTTTACCTATTGGCAGCGTTCGCTAGTTCCCTTTCTTTGTCTGCCTGAAGACTCTGTCTAATTAGCATCGTCTTCCCCTGCCAATGACAAATCGTACAAGACCGGAAGTGTTTCTCAGTACGCTAGCGGCGTAAGCCTGCGTAACGCCGACCAAACTCTTGCCGTCAACCTCGACGATCTGATCATTCACCTGGATTCGACCCTCGCGCGCGGCCGCACCTTTCTCCGTGATGGTTTTCACAAAAATGCCCAATTTCTCGAGACCAGCGTCCGCACCCACACCCATTCCAATTATGCTGAGGCCCAGGCCTTCCGGACCCTTCATCAACTCGACAGGAAATACCTAGATTTTTTGAAAAGATCAGTTTAAATTAAACAAGGATAAAAGACTCTTAATGTACAAAAACAATTAAAAAGGGCATGTAAAAGTCATATAAAATTCAATATAATAATCTAAGATATAAAATGTATTATGCTCTGTAAATTGTAATTAAAATTATATTTCGGCGTCTGGATTAAGCCATCTTCAGATATAAAAAAAATTCACACAGTAGTGTTGGTAAAATTTTGATGAAGACAATAATGTGAAAATATATATAAGTATAATATAAGATAAGGCTAAAGACCTTAGTATCAGGATTTTTCTTAAGAAGAAATTTTTATTTAAAATAAAAAATTGGAGAAAACCTTAATTCATCATCTCAAAATGCCAAAATCTCCTTGAAGCAATCACAAAATACTATTACATTTGTTAAATAAAGATAATTAAATAAAGATAAATTAGAAACACAATGAAACGAAGTATTCAAAGACTTTAAAAGTAAAATTGTGAGAAGAAATTGTAAGAAATTAGCGATATTACTTGCCAAAATTTCTAATGTAAAGCTAATATTATGTTTATTTTATAGGATACTAAAAAAAGAAGTGCAATTCAAAATTACCTCCATTTTTTCGACGCGTTTTTCCAGCTCGTATTCTGCACTGGCCGCCACAGGGTCGACATCCTCGTTGCGGCGATCGTATTCATTGACAGAATGCGTGGAATAAACACGCATGGGACCGGTGTCGAAGGACACTTTAGAGGTTTTCTTGATGGGCACGGTGGACGGATAGTCTTCATCGTCTTCGTCAGACTCTGGGATTCCCGCCACTTCCATCCAAAAGTGGCCGTCCTCGAAATAATGCACGCCATTCTCCACGAGTACCTAATTAATTAAATACTAGAGTTAATGTTGTGGCAAAATCAAAGTGGCAAAAAAAAAAATTATTAAACTATTAAAAAATTGTTGTGAAAAACTATACACATTTCTTTATTTTGATAAATCTATATTTTTCTATTCTCCAGTTTTTTTATCACAAGTTTTTTATCGCTTTTTGATTCAATTGAGCTGAGCAAAAAGAAGCTAATATTTTAATTGTGATAATTACAATTTTTCCTGGAGTTGGAATATAGTCATCCTGTTGCTCGGTTTCGGTGTCATCGTTAGTTTCATGAGTGTCGTTTAAGCTGCTGACGGAGCCGAGCAGTCCGCTCTCACTTCCAGTGACCGATCCTATCTGGCTTTCCGTCAACGAATCTATCGTCAAGTCACTGCGAGATCTATGAGACAAACTGAAATAAATAGAGAGTTAACAGATAAATCGAGAGAAGCTAAAAGTGTATAATTCTCAAAATTTCAGAATAATTCCAAAAGTCGAAAGACCTTAAATCCAGTTGCCCAAGAATTGATAAGAACTTTAGTATCTTTATCTCAAATTATAAAAACTCAAGGAACACAATACTTTTTAAATTCTGAAGGAGATTAAAGATTAAAGATTTTCATCCTTAAAAAATCCAGAAGAACAAAATTTTAAAAATATTACAATTTAAAAATTCAAAAACAAGTAATATTAAAATCGAAAATTTTTCTTAAAATCGTTAAAAGAAAAAATAGAGAATAAAAATAAAATTGCAAAAAGACATAAGGAAAGACGCGCAACCGAAAAGACATAAAAAATAAGCTCGTTCACCTATAATCATGAGTAGCACTATTGATAAGACTGGAATCAGGAGCAGACAGGACATCGGACAGCCAATCGGGCGTGTTGTCCTGGTCGTCCCTATCTTTGTCCTGTCCTTCCTTATCCTTGTCATTAGAAATCCCATCACCTATTATTGCGTCATTGGCACCAGTGGGAGACAGCAGCCTCGCTATCTCCTGCGCTTCTTCGTCCGATAGCAACGCCGAACCTTGTCTAATTTACGTTTCACGAATCATTCATTGTTTTACGCACGAATTACGAAATCGCTGATAGCAAATCAATTCTGCAGTTAAATGACAAAAGCAGTTATGTCCATTCATTCATGAGACATTTCTCGATTTCTTGTACAGAATGTCTGATAATCTAACGGAGTTCGTGGATATGTAGAACGGATTAAATTAAGATGGAAAGTCCTTTACCATTTTGCAATTTTCGTAATAGTTAACAAGATATTAATTGCTAAAAATTGCCAAAAATTGGTCTTCAATAATTTTTTACTCAAATACTATGAACTTTATAGAAAAACTACAAGAGACAAAAATTGTTTATTTTCTTCTCATAGAGCTCTAAGAATTTTTTTAGAATTTTTTCAGAATTTTTTAATACCATATTTTCTTATGTTGATAAAAATAAGAAAATGCAGTACTAAAAAGTTGATAAAAAATTCTGAAAAAATTCGTAGAATTCTATGAGAAGAAAATAAATAATTTTCATCTCTTAGGTAGAGGACTTTCTGTCTCAGTTTAATTCGTTCTACATATCCACAAACTCCATCAGAACAATTATCAGACATTCTGTATATTGTTGGATATTAAACTTAAAAACGTTTTCATAATATGAATGATCATATAATTCAACAAAGCTTTTCTTCGCGGAGAAAAATGTTTTTTTTATTAATTTTCTCACTAAAAGAATAGCAACTGAATAATGATAAGAGATTAAAAATATATAATATATTATCTTTTCTTTTCTATGTATTATTCTTCTTCATAGAATAATGAAACGGATACAATCAATATATATTTATATATTTTTTTCTTTGATACACTTATTATAAATACAATTAACCAGAAAAAAATATTTTATTAATAAAACTATTAATTTTCTAATAAAAGCTTCTTTTTTTTTAAAAAAGGTTTTTGTAAGACAAATTTAGAGTTCTCTTACTAAATTATTCACTAAATTGTCAACATAATATTTTTCAATCATTGTAAAATAACATATCTGCTTCCGTTATTGAATTACAGAATTGCAAATGTACTCACCTAATCTTTTTTTCTAAGATGCTGTATGGACCATGACAATCAGCAGATTTGCATTCAAATAAACACGAACGTATTAGAATCAAAATGAAAGAAAAACAAAGTTATTAATATTAAGCCTCAAATAAAAAATTACTAAGTTGCCAGATTGAAGCAAAAGAAATTCATTATACTATTACAGATACACTATAAAAATATTTGCTGTATTAAAAATGCGAAGGTTATATGCTAAAATTCCTATAAACAGCATCATCCCAAAGCTATCGTCTTTTTATTGATATTAATTATTAATTCTCAATATCAATAAAATTAAATATTTAAAAAAAATGGTGCTTCTTCCTTTTTCTCTTTTTTTAAAATTATAGTTTCTATGTATCAAATGCTATCTAATCTTTCTAATTGACTCCAAAATTCTTTCTTTTAGTCGCTATATATTTACCGAGAGCTCAGAAGATTTTCCGCCTCGTCTGGAGTCATAGTATCTGGCGTCACAGGAGTGATATGATTAACATTGTTCTTCGAAGCTGTCTCTGCAATTCCGACAGAATTGTCCTGTACTTCCTTTACCACACATTCGACATTTGTAACAGTCTTCGTATCACTGGAGTCACTATCTTCGAACTGGCTGCTTTCCGACAATTGTTCGTTGGATTTTTTGCTGGAATGTCTTTGCGAAAGTGTATTAAGTGACACCTGAGAGCTCTGATTGTTGCTCTCTGATAACCGAAGTTTCGCTAGTTCAGCCTTCTGTTTCTCTTGCTCCCACGTCGTCTGAGGCTGATCCATTTCCTTCTCCAGCCTTCTACTCAAGACACTGTTCACCGCTGCTATACACTCTTTTCTGCTGCTGATCTCGGACTTGGCCACCTCTGTCACATACTTTTCCTCGTCTTTACTTTCTTTCGTGATGAGCCCAAAACTATTCATTTCCTGACTACGAATCGTTGCCTTGTCGACACTATCTTTGCTTTCGGACTCGACAAAGCTGGAACGCTTGCCAGAGACTTCTTCTCTGTTCTTCGCAATCTTCTCTCTTACGCTGATTTTAATTTGATCATTTTTCGCATTTGAGACAGTCTTCTGACATATTCCATCGCTACCCGTTTTCATTTTTGCCTCCAACATATCTTCCGTAGATGTAGTATTGATTTTCATTGCTTCTGTACTATCGCTGTTCTTGGTCTCCGTGTTTGGTTTCGATTGAGTTTTGCATTCGGTATTACTCTGTGAAACAATTTCTTCATTCTGCTGTAACTTCTTGGCATACGGAGAAGGCACAGGAATCTCCTTATGTTCTAGCGGCGGATACTCCTGATCAGAACTGATGACAGAGGGTGGACGTGGACCCAGACCTGCAGCCTGAAGATCAAGTCGCACATGGGAACGTCGAATGACCGTGGTCGTGTCCGTATCGTTAAATTTGAACTGATCCTTCTCGGAGAGGCTCTCCGTGCCTGAGACACAGCTCTGATACGTAGCCGGCTTCTCCTGATCCTCCGCTTCCAAGTCATAGCTGTTGCGACCTGAATTTGAAAAATAAATTTATGATATTAAAAGTACTGCGCAGTAAGCTGAAATAGCTTATCAGACTAACATAGACGCTGAAGTACCTCCACAATCGATGCAAAGTAATCGCAGGCACATAATTTTATGTCTTTCTGGAGTACGTGGCGCTCCAAGTATAAAAATATTGATACAAAAAATAGTACAGAGTTTCATATATAAACACTAGTGTTCTGTATTTTGTTACAAAAAGATCACACATTCGCGCAGAATATATAACCTTAATCAACTTAATTAATTAAACTATAGCACTTAATAGGGAGTTATTGATTATTTAATATTATTTAGCGTTTAATTTTTTTTTCAAAGTTATTATCTTATTTATGCTTATATTTAGGTAACAAATAATATTTAGATTGTAGATTTTTATTGTACGTTTAGATAATTATGCAAAATTTTATGGACATTCTTTGCATTTAATTCTTTAATTTAATTAATTTTTGTATGGCATTAAATCATTTTTCGTTTTAATTCTTCAATTTAACTTCAATTTTTTATTAGTTTATTAATTTAATATAAAAGAATTTCGATCTAAAAAATTCTATTTGTAAACATGTGCATTTTTCCTCACCAATTTATTAATATATTCAAACTTCCTGATGTATATTTATTAATAAATTAACATTTTTATATTTTCCATTTTTGGAAATGTATGTTATATCAATATTTATATACATCAGCAAAGTGTTTCACAAACTTGCTATTTTCACATTTATAAAAAGCATCATGACTCATTCTGTCTTCGAAGAGGTCACTATAGTGATCAGAACTGATTTCAAACACAACATTGACGATTTTCAAATCCCAAAATTCGAGAGCCCCAGAGACACTTTTGCAAAGTAAACGACAAGGCACGAGCGTTTGGCCGCTGGACAAGCCGCACGGTGATTTCTATAAATAATACCGTGGCACACTGGTAAAAGAGGAGGTGGCAAAGCAAAGGGAAGGAGAAAAGGGGTAAAGCAGGGAGCTGCGTCTGGTGCTTTTACTTTTTGGCATTTTGGCACACTGCCATCCCAACCCACGACAGCGAGAGTCACCTGGCCTCACCGATGTTTCTCAAAAATGTAAAGATTGATTTTTTAAGTTAATAATTTATCATAAAGACACTCAATATATATTAAATATTTAAATATATATTAAAATCGATAATTAAAATTTTATATATATACACACACACACATAAGTTTTTAAATAATTTTTTAAAAATATTATTTAAATATTATTTAAATATTATTTAAATTATTATTAATTAAAAGAAACAAAATTATGCAATATCGATTTTTATTAATATAATTACCTGATAGTCATTGATTCATTTCGAATTGCATTTTTCCTATTTATAATAAAGTTTTTTGGTTTCATAAGACTTTCTATAAATTTCAGAGCTTACCTGTCTGATGTTTCTCCGACATTTCCTTCTCTGCTTTTTCCTCCTTGCTGTCTTTGGAGGGTGAACTAGGTGAACTCATGCTGGACGAGGCACTGTCGGTGCCTACGGAAGGCAGACCTAGCTCCGATTCCGGTGATCGCATCAGCTCGGTCCTCTTATCGTCTACTACAGTTTCTTTTCTTTTCGCATTCGGTCTGGCCCAATCGGGTCTTGAATCCGGTCTGGTCACTTCGTTACGCAGCTCAGTTTCCAGAGCCTCCTTCGACGAGGCTTTCAGATCTCTCAAATCGACAGTCCTCTTCAGAATCTCGTCATTTTTCGCTAGCCATTCGTTCCTCCACTCAGAAGTTTTCGCTGGCGAGTGAATGGGGCTCGGGGGACAATTAAAGTATTCCGGCGCCTCTAGCAGATCGCTCTCCCTCCTCGTGAGGATATTGTCCATCGAGGCACTTCGAGTTGAACTAGAAACCTCATAATTTAATACAGGCGATGTTTTTGTCTGCTCGGGAAAGTCGCTATTATCATTTATGATGGCAGTTTTGGATTCTGGAATTGCTGAGTCTTTTGTGACTTCTTTCGATTCCTCCATAGCCTCCACGACCTCCTCTTTTGAAGACTCTGTTGGTTTAGACACTACAGCTTTGAATGCTGGCGCTTCTTCTGTAGACGAAAAATTTTTCAAGGGCTCTTTCGAATTTTCTGTTGGCTTCAAAACTGCATCTTTGCTGACTGGAACTACTTCTACAACTGGTGGACCTTTTACAGTCTGCGTGGTGACCTTAGAAGTCTCCTTAGTATCCTCTATTGATTTTGAAACTACAGCTTTGTTTCCTGGAATTGGTTCTGCAATCGCGGAGCTTGTCAAGATCTGTACAGTGGATTTAGGAACATCCTTGGCAGCCTCTGTCGGCCTCGAAGTCACAATTTTGTTTCCCGTAACTGCTTCTGTAATTGCTGCGCACTTCAAATTCTGTGTCTTGGAGGCCTCCTTGGAATTCTCCGCTGATTTCAAAGCTGCTTTCGAACTATTCTTCTGCACAACGGCGTATTCCGGCAATGGTGCGTCTGGAATCTTGTCGGCGCCGGCAGTCTTACTCTCTTTCGGACTATTCTGAGGTTTCTTCTTCTGTACAACAGCATACTCCGGAATCGTTGGCGAAATGTCGTCGAATCTCTCTACCGTTGCATACTCTGGGCTTTCTAATAGTTCAGACGAGCTGCCGGAGGCAATACTCGCCGGTCGTTCTCTTCTATTGGCTGCAGACGAGTTCCTGACAGGCGGAGGCGGTGGTGGGGGTGAGCGTGCTGAGCAAAAGCTCGCTGATCTGGTAGCTGGGCTGGCAGAGTCGCTGGCTGCCGCACTCGCCGAATTCTGGCACGTATCAACAAACGATGACGACTGCTGTGCTTGATTCTGAGCATTTTGGGAGTTCAGAGAAGTTTGGACTAGCGAGCGATTCGGATCGGAATTGTATCGATTCGGTCTAGTCTTGGAGAAGTGACTAGTCCAATTCCGTTGCTTCTCGATGAGCTCCTTTGAATTCGGTCGGCGTTCCGGTTTTTCTGGTCGCTCTGGACGATCGTTCTCCTTGCCTGTGCGCTCGACCTTACTCACCCCCGCGCCAGGACGTCGCTCCGGCGCACAGTGACCATTCTCAAAGTGTCGCTCCGCGTTCAAAGTCGGTACACTAGCGCTCCACGTGCTGAGATGTTCGCGACTGCCTGGAGGAGAGGGTGAGTGAGGACGAGGTGATCTCGCGGGTGACGTGCACCCGGAACCTGAATTCGCAGAACTGGAGCGAGACCGAAGACCATGCAAATTGTTCGGTTTTGTAACCCGTTCTACCCTGTAGATTAAACAAAGATATAAATTAATGTTAAAGTTACATATTCTAAGAATTATTTATTCTATTCAGATCCAAACTTTATTTAAAAAAATTGATAATATAATGTAATAATAATATCTATAATAAAGTAATAAAAAAAATTAATTAATTAACATAATAAATTAATAAATCAAATTAAAGATAAATTTATACAAAGTATAATTAAAAAAATTTAAAAAGTTAATAATTAATGAATAAAACTGGAGATAGAAATATAATTTTAAGAGAAATAATATAAATTTCTATATTCTAATTGCATGCTTACGGTCTGTTTGATTTGTTTTCCTCGCCAAGTTTCTCAAAGAGGGCTCGCGCATTGTTGAAACGTGCCACATGGCTCTCAGTTCTGACCACTGTTACTTGTGTCGGAGATTCTTTCAGTGGAACAGCTGGCTCCTTAAATCCATCCGAGAGAATATTGTTCGTTCTTAGATTGTCCAATTGTGGTTTGGATTGGAAGATATTCGCGATGGCTGATACCTTGGAGCCACCCATTCGCTTTTTCTCTTCAATCGCCGCCATGTCTGGCACAAGCTTTACATAAGAAAATATATTTAGAATATTTTGAATTCATTGAAGTCATAATCTTAAACAATTTTATAATGCAAATTATTTTTTAGTAACAAAAATCATTGATAAATTTTTGAAAGTAATAACATAGAGAATATATACATAAGCAACAACATCAGAAATATATAAGATTAATATATTATTAATTATATATATATAAATATATATATATAAATATATATATATATATATACATATACATATGTATGCGTGTAATAATAATATAAATATGTAATAAATAAAAAAAATTATATTTTAATATTTGCAACCTCTTTAAAAAAAATTTATGTTTTAACAAACTGTTTTTAATAATACTTAATAGATTACTTTACCTATGGCTGACAGTAAGTAGTAATATTTATATATAAATGCTAATCATTTTAAGTATTTCAGCCCATTGTCATTCATGCATTTAATCATTCATTGCAATAACCTGTAAAAAAAATCATTAAATTTATATTAAATTCAATCAGTAATTTTTTTGAAGATAAAAAAGATTAAGATATCTCTAAGTATATATACAGCAATTTGATATTTTGTAATAAAATGTCGCAATTAATCAAATTTAATAAATTAATCTTAATCAATTAATACAAGATCCTATTTTACTTTACTTTTTTCTACCTATCTCAGATACTATACTTCGATACGTGCATAAACATATAAATTAAATTAAACTGTAATAAATTAAATATAAATATATTAAATTGTAATACACGCAAATGACAAAAAGAGAAATAATTTTAAAATAAAATTTTACGTATTTTTCATATTCTGTAAGTTAAATCTATCTAGAATTCATGCTTTCGTGGTACATCAAAGAACATACATTTTCTGCTATTGTTGTCTATAGCTATCACACATTAGTACAGTCAATTGGATTTTCTGACCTTTACAGAATTTGAATATTTACTTCTTTTTCTTAAAGATTTAATACCATATATTTTCCCCCAATTTTACTATTTTTGTAATATATATATTTAAAAATATTCTACAAGAAAGAATATTAAAATATAAATATACAAATATATAAAGATATTCTTCAAAAACACCAAAATAAAAATTACAAAAACAGAGCAATGCAAAATACTATCTCATGTAGCAATAATAAAAATTAGTTTCATATAATAAAATTATATGTAATGTATGTAGAAAATTATAATTTTTGCAAATATTAATAATAACATAAATTTAAAAATTATTTTGTAATTACAAATATAATTAATTAAAGAAAATGTAATAATATTTATGCTATTATAACTTGCAAATTTATCTTAAAACACTTAAATCTTTTTTCTAACTTTGTGTGACATTTTTGTTTTATAATTACATTTTTTAAATATATTTTTATGTATAACTGTTATATCTGTATGTATCTGAAAAATGTTAATGGAAACAAAAGCTGAATGACAAGAGATATAATCATAATAAAGGTGGCTCTGCCATGCCTGAGTTTCAACCCTCCTCCCATAGCACACCATGTTGCTGCAATCAATACTTGAATGCTGTCCCTATGGTACATAGATGCTAAAAGAGTTGCAATTTTGCATCGCTCACATGTTCATGTAATTGTTTGCATGACTGTAGATATAATCACGTATGTTTGTATTATACTGAATTGTGTTTGATATGAAAGGTCATTCACAATGTTTACTATCTAAGTGTATTTTAGGACATATCTACATACTTCAAATTTGCTATAAATAAACAAATCTATATTTAGATATAAACTCTCTGTATCAGCTATGCATTGTTTATCTTGACAAATTTAATTCTTCCTTGTTTAACATTGGAATATTAACATTGGAATATTAGTAGAAAAAAAGTTTGTGTTAAATGTTACAGTTCATCACGTGTGTAAAAAAGTTATGTTAAATATTATAGTTTATCGCATGTGTGTCTCTCCACATGTCCAATACTTTGTATCCAAACTTATAATATTAATTTGATAAATAATCTCATAAAATAATACAATCCACTCTACTATACATTGCTATCGTTTGTATGTGAACCTCAATATCAATAAACTGCTTTATGTATTTTAATTTTCATTCAATTAATACCTAATTCGATAAAAATGTAATAAAGTTGATAAAATTAATTGAACATAATCAAGAATCCATTACATCAATAATATTACAAAATTCTGTCAAAATTGTAGATAATAAAAAATCAAACGTAGTTTTATATTAGGCTATACAGAGAATTACCGTAATTAATTAATCAATGAAAAAATAAATGTATATTAGTAAAATTAATTAAAATGCAATCTCCAAATTTAGAAATCTCATGAACTTTTCCCCAGCTATTGCTTATAATATTATCTTATATAATTTTATCATATAAGATTGATTTAAAATGTCAGTAATAACAAAACATTATTACATTAATATGTAATGAAATTATTAAATGTATATTCATCGATATTTAATATTCAAAATATCGATCTTAATTTAATCTCACAAAATATAATGTGATACAATATTATTATTACATAAAATGTTTCGATCATCATTAATTATTAAAAATTCATTATCAAAGCATTTTAAGCATTTTATAAATTGAATTAATATTGCAAAAATGTAATAAATTGATAAAGTTAATGTAATTAAGAGTTCCATAACTTTGCTATACTCTTTCACAATCACAAACAATACATATCAAACACAATACTTCCATATTTTGCTATACAGAGAATTACTAATTAATTTGTCATCAATAAAATAAATGACAAATCATAATTTATTATATAATGAATAAAAATGAAATAAATCAATTAAATATAATCTTCAAATTTAAGAATCTCATGAATTTATAACATTTTTCCACAATTATTATCCAATCCTAACTCTTTAATAAACTGTGAACTTTAAGCTTTGCTTATAAATAATCTCATATAATTTTATCATTTAAAACATGATTACTATAATAAAATAAACATTTTAGTAAAATATAATCCCTACATAATTAATTCAGCAGTTTTATAAACAATGTAGCTTTTCTAGTGGGTGTTAAATAGTGAAGCAAAAAACTCGTTTTAAAGTTTAACTTATTATTAACATTTTAAAGTCATTTGAGATAATTTATAAGCAATACTTAAAGCCCTTGTCACTGCATTAAAGATTGAGGATTGTGAATTGAAGATTAGAGTTCAACCAATCAGAATAAAATAAATTAAAAATATTAAAATTAAATGTAAAACATCATCTGACTGATCAAAGTCTAATCTTCAATTTATGATCCTCAACCTCCAATATAGTGACACAGGCTTTAGATAATTGTAAATTATTTCATATGACTTTATCATTCATTTAAAATTAATAACACGCTCCTAATATAACAAAACAAGCATTTTGATAAATTAATGGGAAATACAATCTCTATATAATTAATTCGGCAACTTTATAAATAATGTAGTTTTTCTGGTAGTTGTTAAATAGTACAGGAAAAAAACTCACTTTAAAGTTTAACTTATCAGTAACATTTTAAAAAGTCACTTGAGATAATTTACAAGCGATGCATAAAGCCTGTGTCACTGCATTGGGAAGTGAAAATTAAATTGGGAATTGGAGTTATCAGAATTCAATCAGTGAGACAATCACAAACTGTTACTGAAATTTCAAAACACTGATTAGAATATTAATAATATCACCGTATAATTAAACGCAAGTAAGACTGCGAATTAAAAAAAATCACCATTTTTAAATTCAACAATAATTCTCGAACGTAAAGGTAAAACGGAGCAGACCGTTTCTAATCACCACTGGACATTGCTACTTGTGAATTATCCAATTAATAAATTTCACGCCAAGCTTGAGATCGAGATATCGGTTTGATTGATGCAACAAAATAACAATAGCAGCAAGCTAAACGTAGCGTAACGTTCGGACGTTTGGACATTCGGATTCGCTGAATTCGCAAACATTCACGAAACAAAACATCCTCCCGATGTCTCGATCGCCATTACACCCCATGAGGACCCCATGGAAGAGGCGCCGGGGCCGCTCCACCGAGCTTCGCCGAGCTCCGCCGAGTTCCACCGAGCTCGCCGGGGAGAATTCATGGGGCCTTCACGGGGACGCCGTCAATCGTATCTAGGAGGCGTGAAAGCCTCGTCGCCGGTGGCCGTACCTCCGCCGCGAAATTAACTTTCGAACTGACCCGGAAGACGATGTCACCATGTGCGCGCAAGCGATGCAAGCATCTTTCTTGAACGGGCGAGCCGCACGACTTGGAACTTGGAACTTGGAACTCGGAACGACTCCGTTTTGCGGCGCTCTCGGCAGTTTGCTTTACAGTTGTTCTCGCGTCTCGCGTCGCGTTTTCACGAGACACGACGCACAACGCACGACGAGACAGGACGACGGAAAGAATAGACGGGTGTTTCGTGTGACGTTAATATGCGGTCACATCCGCCTCGTCTATAGCGATCCCTAATAATCACCGTCACGATTTTACGACACGGCGTCGTTCCATATCGCGAACTTGGGCGAACTGCCCCGGCCGACGCACGACGCACGATGCACGACGGACACTGCCCGATTCCGAATTCCGAATTCCGACCAATTCCGACCTGTGCGATAAATTGACAACCGTACGCAAAGTGAATAAAGATGGCCGTCGAAAGTCTAGGGACAGTGATGCCAAGTCTGTTCGAAAGTTATTTCTTATATTGTGATTTTCTCAATATTTTACGTATAATTTCGACTTTTTTTTTGTATTTTCCTCCCCAAAAGTTACTTGAGAAATTTTCATAAATTATTTGTAACCTCAAAAAATCTTCCAGTAAAAAAAACATCAAATTTAAAGGAAAAATATCTAAATTTGGCAACATTGCCTCTAGGGATTTTCATCAATTTGTGTCGTTATCTTCAGTTTGCGTGTGTTCTAAAATTGACTACCAGGACTGGAAATCTATAGTGCATATAACGTATAAACTGTAGCTTTTTCAGTACTGTCAATAAATTTGGGACATAGCCTTTAAGCCGTATTCGTATATTAAAACCGGCTGATGCTTGTTTTCCTGCTGGATTATTAGCTGTATTAGAATCTTGCCACTGTATTGGCTGCGGTGCTGTATTTAGTCCGCCATATTGGATCTACTAATCTTATCATGTGGACATAGGAATAACTATATACCAATAATACTAAGCGCTTATAGAGGAACTTTCTAGCAGAGGCACAAATCGACACGAGAGTCATTCAGTCTTTGTTTCTTATTGATTATTGAAGAACAGAATGACTCTTGTGTTAATTTGTGTCTTTTGCTGGAAAGCTTCCTTGAACTACAGATAATTAGATCCAAAATGGCGATGAAATAGCCTATAGGAAGCCTTGTCGGCAAGATGAAAGAAACACTACTTTAGTAATATAGAGCTTTAGGGTCAACATTTTCATTTTCTCTCTTTTCAGTGCAAAATATATATCTATTTTATTTTAAAAAAAGTACAAAAAAAAAGCGAACAAGTCGAACAGATCAAATTTAAAAACTCATTTAAAAATGAATGCCTTTTCATATTAACCTATTTTGACGCTGAAATAAGCATTGAGTAAGAATGTAAGAACTAACCAACTACAGTTGAGTGACAGGGGAATGCTCGACTGTAGTTGGTTGGTTTTTACATTCTAATCCGGATTAAATCCTCGGTGGAAATTAGGTCAATATGAAAAGATATTATTACATCGTTCAATGAACTCAACAGTTGAATTAGCGCTCGCTACTATTGATGTACTCTTCTAGATCTAAAATCTGGACGATTTAAAAGAATACACCAATAGCGAGCGCTCATTCAACTATTGAGTTTGCTGAACGCAGCCAATACCACTGCGCATGCGTAAGAAAATGCCGCTATTCGGAATGGAACTAATGGAAGCGCGACGCCGCGACGCCGGTTGCTCAGTCAACTCAGTCGCTGTGCTGTAGTAAAGTGATTCAGTTGGCAACTAGCAAGTGGCAAGATGGCGACAAGTATAAACGGTTTGTTCCGTGAAGAATTGCGCGATGCAATTTTACGTAGCAAAGTACTCGTTGTTGGCGCCGGCGGTATCGGCTGTGAGATCCTCAAAAATCTGGTTATGTCGGGATTTGCCGATATTGAAATTGTAAGTATAATTTTCTTGTTAACCTCACCTCATGATGGAGTTGAAGGCGCAAATATAACGAATTCTATTATTGTGGAAAAAAACCCTCGATTTATATTCACAGTAACGATAATAAATATAAAGCATTCTTCTTTTTTATTTTCTTTTTATATTAATAATTTTACACTTCATTATTTTGAATAATGAATGCATTACGAATATTTATATATTCGCAGGATAAGAATTCTTCTTTTGAATTAAGACGAGTTTTTCAATTTATCGATTGATTGGTTGCGTTATGTGCAAAATGTAACTTTGCTTTATAAAGTTACATTTGGCACAATGCGATTGATTAATCAATAAATTAAAAACTCGCCTTTAATTTCTTTTTTCTCCATCTTTTCTTTTGTGTTATTATAATTATTTTGTGTTATTTTCTTTGTCTTATTCGTTTCTAACTAATTGATTTGTTTTAATATTTATTATTTTGTAATTTTATTATAATTTGTGTGTATGTTTCCTTATCATATATGTTTTTCAATCAAATTATTTCATTATTAATGTTTTGTTAATTAATTGTATTTCACATATAAAAAGAAAGTCTATGAAAATCTTAAAGATAGAAATCGTATAGGTCATAACATAAGCCAATAAATCCAACATGTTGAGTTCCTTAAGCTCATTCTACAATTGTATAAGCAAATTGTATAGTTGTAAGAATTGACCAATTAGTTACATTTATACGAGTATTATAGAATACGAGGATAATATTTGACTATAATTTTATTATTATAATATTATAACTTTAGATTATTCTCAATTGATCTTTATTTTCCAGATTGATTTGGACACAATTGATGTCAGCAATTTAAACAGGCAATTCCTGTTTCAAAAGAAACACGTGGGAAAATCAAAAGCCAGTATAGCATGTGAAACGGCATTGACATTTAATCCTGATGTCAAAGTGATACACTATCACGACAGTATTACTTCGTAAGTTTATTTTACTGCTTTATTTTGCTTGCAGCAATGTTGATGCCGTATATTTATTTGATGTTCTAAAACTTTGTGTTTACAGTTCGGAATTTGGCTTAACTTTTTTCAAAAGATTCACAATGGTTTTGAATGCTCTTGACAATAGAGCAGCCAGAAACCATGTGAATCGTATGTGTCTGGCAGCAGATGTACCATTGATTGAATCTGGCACTGCAGGTTACGAAGGTCAAGTCGAACTCATCAAAAAAGGCATGAGCCAATGCTACGAATGTACGCCTAAAGCTGCGCAAAAGACTTATCCTGGCTGTACCATCCGCAACACTCCCAGTGAGCCCATTCATTGCATCGTTTGGGCTAAACACCTCTTCAAGTAATCATTACAAAACAATTTACGTTAAAAAGATATTTTATTGATTGTGTATTGCACTAATTAAAATATGTAAATTTAATTGAATTTTTATTTATATTATTAAAAATGAATTTGATGAACAGTAATTCTTAATTGATTTATTTTATAATGTGTAATAAATGTTACAGTCAATTATTTGGAGAAGAAGATCCCGATCAAGATGTTTCTCCGGATACTGCAGATCCTGAAGCAGCTGGTAATACAAAATATACTATAATATTTAGCATAATTTATAATTATAACACTAATAGTATTAACATTAATAATAATTAATGCAATTAGTATTGTGATAGTCTTATCATAAGATTTATACAAATATTTTTAATGTTTAACTAAATTTCTTATTTTATTTTCTATTATTTGATCAGTAATAAGTTATTATTGATAGTAAAATATAATAATAGAAAAGAAGGTGGTAATATGGGTTCCCATTTTATTTTTTTGGATAATTATTTTTAATACTCAAGTTAATGATATATCAAATGATTATTTATTGATCTTAAAATAGCATAACAGCACCTTAAGAATTAAGGTATTTAGAATATAAGCTTAATGCTCGATTTTTGCTTCGGTTTTAACTCTAAAATTCTAAAATTCAGCTAATAAGGCTACCAATTTTAATTGATCCTAATTGAAATCTGTATCTTTATTTTATCGGTTTAATTTTAGAATTTTAGAGTTAAAACCGAAGCATAAACCAGGCATATTACGAACTTTAATTTTGACATTAAATTTGACATTAAAAATCATACAAAAAACTTCGATATATCTTGTAATAGATCAAGCAAAAAAAATTGCGCCAGTTGTGGCAATTATTTCACAATTTCGATATCTAAAATTAAATTAAAATCTTTTACAAGAAATGGTGTTAATTGTAACATAATTGTAAGTGGGAGGCTCACATTATCACCTTTTCCTCTATTAATATAGTATTTAATATTGTAGATACAGCAGGAGAAGAAGCTTTGCAAGGTGAATCCAACGATAAAGGCAATATCGACAGGATTTCCACACGAGCTTGGGCCCAGTCTTGCGACTATGACCCAGAAAAACTGTTCACAAAACTCTTCCATGATGACATCAAGTACCTGTTGAGCATGGACAATTTGTGGAAAAAGCGCCGATCTCCAACGCCATTGAAATGGAGGGAACTGCCTGATGGAGGTTTGTTATTGTCCTACACAAATATCTTCTTGTCAATTTTCTCAATGAAAATAATGTATTATTTTCTTGAAGTGGCTGGATGCAGTAAAGAGATCAATCAGCCTGGACTGAAGGATCAGCAACGATGGAGCATTTCCAAGTGTGGCTCGATTTTTGCAGAATCGATGAAGACCTTAAGTCAAACATTGAAGTCTTCTCAAGAAAAATCACCAGGCAATCATTTAGTTTGGGATAAAGATGATCAATATGCTATGGATTTCGTTGCTGCATGTGCTAATATTCGCGCGCATATTTTCGGAATTCCTCAGAAAAGCAGATTTGATATCAAATGTTAGTAATTCTGTTACAGTTCTATATCTTTCTTGAAATAAGTTCTCAGAATGTGTTCCTGTTCACATTATACTCTCACAATTTTCAATTTAAATTCAAAGTATATATGGAATAAAGTTCAGGACTGAATCCAGAAA